ATTTAACTTAATTAATTGGCTAGCTACCTAAATATTTAACTTAATTAATTGGCTAGCTACCTAAATATTTAACTTGTTAGCTAAATATTTAAGTGACATTGACACATGACATTTATAAATGTATGAATCATATGGTGAAAAACTGACTTTGAAAAATAAATCTGTTCTTTTTTTCTTATACAGTAAAAGGCTAAATAAAATAAAAATATTGGTGGTAATTTTTGACTGTGTAACTTTACAAACAGCACCCCATACACTACTGCCTACTGCTATGAAAGCCCACTGATGATCTAGAAGGTCAAAGCTAAAACAGAGCAGGTAGAATGAAGACGTGTGTGATATTTCATTTGTTTGTGACGTCTTGCTGCTGGAGCTGGTCGTGGTGGTGCAATCTGTGGACAGGTATACCTACCAAGGCCGCAGCAGCTGCAGCCTGGTTGACTTGGTGTTGGGCAGCTTTGATTTTGGCCTGCAGGTGAGTCGGAGGGTGGAAGTATTTGCACTTCTCCCTCGAGCAGCGGCCCTTTATGTAGTCCATGCACACAGTGACTGTGTTGTCATTGGTGTCAATCATAGTGCTGTCTGCCGGGTGGGCAAAGCGACAGTCGTTCTCCCCACGTGTGCAGTTACCTCGCTGGTATTCCCGGCATACCTGGGTTTCACAAACAAAACCGTCAGAACGTGACCCTGGACCCCGACACACACGCTTCTCTCCACGGCTGCACATAAACACCGAACCTGGACACGAAGAATTAGGTTTCTTTTCATTTTACGTCACATTTAATGAACGACTCAGACTGTTGAGTCGTTCCAGAAACTAACAACTACTWCACCAGACAAAGCCAACCAATCTTTATGACAGATTTGGCCATTACTGCTAAATTGATAAGCCGAACATATTTTAACCAGCATTTACAGTTTCATCAATCACTCAACAGGAATCAATTATTTAAACAAATGACCAGGGTTGTTTTTTTTTTGTTTGTTTTTTTTTTACAAGACGGACAGAAGGGGGCAGCACTTGCATGAACAGTAGCAAACCATGGAGGAAAGTAATTGCTTCAGTATGATTGTATTGTTTAAGTGAGGCTCGTGGGAAATAAGAGGCCGGTTACTCTCAAGAGAGACTTTAGCTGATGCAATAACCAGTACACACATAATAAATAGCACAAACACACACACACAAGCCGGGTGCACATAATTAATGAGGATTTTTTTTTCTGACACTATAGAAGAAGCATGATAAA